GTGCAATTAGTTTGAAAATGTGCTAACTGATTTTTTCATTATATTATGTGTCAGGCTATGTTTTGCAGTAACTATTGGCAAGCCTCACTATAATGCATAAGTCATCCCTCAAGTTCTTTGTTGAGCCTCTATCTAAGAGAGTTCAAAAGTATGTTAAGATGCACTCACAAGTTGTTGAGTTGTTTAGGTATTTGGTTAAGTGCGGATCAAAAGTGGATCATATAAGGGAGGAAGACATTAGGACTTCAAAACTCAAATGAGGAGTAGGATGGGCATTCGTTTAGCGGAAAAATGACACAAGAAAGGACATCAAAATTTGAATACTAAGGAGAAAACTAATGTAAACTGGACTTCGAATTTTCTTGACAGGTCTTTTCAGCTCTTTATAAGTTGATTTTTATAAGTCTTACGTTTGTAAATTATGGAGTAAAACTAACTGATGATCTTCTTTAGTTTGATAGCATGAGATTTATGTACAACAAAAAAAAACGATTAATTGATGATACAATTATCACCATACAAAAAAAATTAAAGAAAACACAAAAAATATGGAGAAGATGGTGGTTTTTGAAAAGATGGAACAAGTAAAATCAACCATGATCCTGAGTTTAAGGGAGATAATCCGAAAGGAATTGGCAGAACACAGAGAAAAAACTGAATGAATAAACTGAACAAACTACCTCATATTATAATAAGGTTTTTGGATGAAGTGGGGATATCAAAGAAGGTAGATGCAGATATAGGTAATGGTAAGGCGAATAAATGATATTTTAAGTATGTGATCTTCATAGTACGTACGTCAGTATTTGATATTTAGGGTCGTGTTTGAAAAGTTATGTGTAATTACCTGGCAGTATAAAAGTATACAACCAACCTACCCTTCTGTAGCTTTCTAAATTATTTTAAACAATATGAGCCCACCAAAGCCTCCCAAAAGATTTTGACAGAAGAAGATAGCCCAACCGTCCCACTCCACCCCTCTCCCCCCCCCCCCCGTCCTTAGCCGGCTCATAACAAAGAGTAGAGGTGAATGGTTTTTATAGAGAAATCCAGATTGAAACTATTAATGATTCTACGTTAGCTCTAAAGTAAGGAGATCACTTAAAACCCCTCATGGAATTACTACATTCAATCATTTCACGTAGAACTTGGCTGGAAACTGAAGATTTGATGGGAAGGAATGTTTTCACAAGTGGTAGAAAGAGGAAACTATTTCTCACACAGCCCTACCTACGTACCCTATGTATTCGAGGAAGAGGTTGGAGCCGAAAAAGATCAGGTTCCACACATATGAGACAGGCAGAAGGCATGTGACGAACATTAATTGCATACTCTGGTAATTATGTAATGTTTATTTGATTGGACAAGTGTAATCACATTGACCAAATACGTTTTTTTTCACATTAACAAGTAGATCAGTTTTACTATGCCACAAACATATAGGTAAATAATAAATATCAAATTTTAATTCATAATGAGATATTTAATATAAATATTTGTATGTAAAAATATATTAAATAATTATGGATTAATAAATAATATGATAAAAATAATGGTAGCTTTCAAATAAACAATATTGTTACTTAAATTAATTAAAAAATCAACAAATTATTTAATTTTTGACCAGCTCATCTGAATATAAGTAAGCAAGATATGAGTAGAAAGTATTTTTATAATAAATATTTATAATATCCATTAAATAATAGAGCTAGTAAAATACAAAATAAGTGAATTTTAATGTGTGACAATTAGAGATATAAATAAGAAGTATTAGATATTATTTATAACTAGGTATTCAAACAACATGTTTTTCTTTAAAATAAAAATTATAAGTTAGTAACTAATATCATAAAGAATATTCGGTATCTTTACTATCTTTCCAATAACTAATAATTTAATTTAATATAATCAATTAAAGTTTCAATTATGAGGTTAATTTTATACGAACTCAATGAATATAAGATGAATTTTATGATTTGTTATACTTTTAAATAACAAAAATATAGATATGAGTTTAGAAGGTATTTTTCTTAATAATTATTTATAGTAATGAATAGAAAATAAAGCTAGTAAGATAGAATTTACATTTAACCACTAAGAAAATAAAGAGAGATTAAAACCAAAAAAAGAAAAGAAAATAAAGAGATAGAAAAGGGCAAAATATAAGAAGTTATGAAATTATATGGAAGCACATCATAATCAACACATTGGCTGGTTGAAAAATAAGAATAAGAGAAATAGTAAAAAGAATATTTACTTAATATATTTGAAAAAGAAAAGAAAAAGAAAATTAGAAAAGTTATACTATTAACTTATAATTATATAGTGTTACCACCAATTCTTACCTCCCCTTAAGAATTAAAGAGTATAGTTGTACCCCTTAAATAGAAATTTGAAATTGCAAAAAAAAAAATTAAGGTAAAAAAATAATTTTTTTTTCCGGGTGGGGTGGGGGTGGGGTGGGGGTGGAGTGGAGGGGTAGTAGGGTGAGTGGTAACGGAAAAACTGAAATTTGAAAAAAAAAGAAAGCCTTTTTTGGAGAGGGGGTGGGGTGGGTTGGTGAGGGTGGGGAAGGTTGAGAAAGAGTTTTGAAAAATGTTTTCCCTTCTCTTGATAAGGAAAACATTTTCCTCCAATTGGAGGAAAATGAATTCATAAGGAAAATATTTTCCAAAATATTTAAGCCAATCAAACATGAAAAAATTGAAAAATATTTTGCGAAAAATATTTTCCTTCATACCAAACACTCCCTTAGTCCCGAAATCTTAAATTTATAACTTTATTGCAAATTCTGAAGCGATTAGATACGAATTCTGAAGTGTATTTCGAACAACATAAATTTTGCAAATATTGATGCAAGGCGAGTATGACTTCAATGGTAGCCCCACTTCCCAATTAAATGGGCCCAACACCTGTGAGCCCATCTTGATAGGTTCAAAATAGTAAAAATAGCACGGTCTAATCAATTTTGGGACTGGTCATTCAAAAATAGCCAGCGTTTACCAAGTCAATGAAAAATAGCCACTATTTTGCTGCAACAGAGATCGGTCCAGCATAATATACTGGAGTTCGGTTCAGCTGTGCATGAACTTCCAGCATATTACGCTAGAACTCCAACACACGAAAAGTTCCAGCATAATATACTGGAGATTCGAGCACTTGTGTATGAACTTCTACCATATTACACCGGACCGTTATACTTTACTGGAACTCCAGTATATTATGCTGGAGTTCTAGTGTACTTATGCTGGAACTCCATCATATTATGTTGGAGTTCCAGCATACTTATCCTGGAACTCCAATATAATATGCTGTAGTTCAAGTATACTTATGCTGGAACTCCAGCATAATATACTAGCGCATTTTCTGGGTTTTGAACAGTATTTTCACTTAGATTTATCTTTACATGAAAAGTAGCTAAATTTTAATTACTTTTGAAACTGGACTATTTTTGAACGACCACTTGTAAATCTGGCTATTTCTGAATTTCTCCTTTTAAAATATGAAGAAGTAAAAAAAAAACGGTTTATCCCATTTTTATGTGCTTATTTATATTTATTTATTATTACTCGCTCTCATGTTTTACTTGCTTTTTCATACTCTAGGAATTCACATCAAAATATTTAATTGCTTTTATGTGATTATTTTTTTTAGATATAGGATTATGAATCTACCTAAAAACTAGTTTTATTCGAGCATATAGTTTTTAGTTTTTTTTTTTTTTTTTTTTTTGGTTTAAAAGATGCATTTCATCGGAATCTACCCGTCAGGGTGCCAAGTGACAGTAGCATTGTTTCGAGGGGGCACATATAGTACTTGGCATCTAGTTTAAAGCCATAAAATCAACTAATTGATAATTTTACAAAGCTGCTTATTATCTTGAATTACTTGCTACGTGATTGTGTAAGTCTAAATCCGTTTTATTTGGATTACATGCTCATATCCTTATGAAAGTGTATATTGAGTGGTGTCTGTACCTTTTCCTCAATTGAATTTGAACTCTAACCTAGTTAATAATATAAATAGCATCGCTACTGAAGAGGAGATGGAATAAGGAAGCAAAAAAGAGTGAGATGGGCTAATACTTGTTGCCAGATTTTGCATTTCAATTTCGTGTCATTCTTGGTTAAGGGACACATATTAAGCCAGAGAGAGACAAAAACATTGAGGAGGCTAAATTTGTTTTCGCTTCAATTTAGCTGTTTTACATGTGTTAATAATATTACTGCAAATTGTAGACAATGATCCTTTTTCATAAATCAACGCAAGTGTTTGTTGAAACATCACGAATATGCTCCAAATTCAACATAAATATAACAACTTTAGTGTGCAAATCTTCGTTCTTACTATACACGTTGCTTTTAACTTATAATTGTGCATACTCGTATATGAACAATAAAATTTGATAAGCTATATCAGAAATTTCAAATTCATAGAATCTTTATATATATATATATATATACTTTTGCACTTAATAAGAGGAGTATTCGCTTTATATTCAAATGTCGTTTTTATCCATTGGGTATCACTCTCCGGCCGTCAAATTCGCTTTATATTCAAATGTCGTTTTTATCCATTGGGTATCACTCTCCGGCCGTCAAATCCATTTCACAATCACTTGTTGAGGATGATGATGTGGAAGAGGTCTCTCTTTTCAACCTCCTATGCTTCGATGAGACTGTGGCAGTTGCTATAACAACGTCAAATCCATGGGAAAATTTAACTTTCTTTCTTTAAAGGGTTAGTTTATAACTTTAAATTCACATTATAGCTTACCTTGCAATATATAAAGTCACTTGATTTTTTGGCATTCTACAGCAGCTCTCTCTCTGCATCTCTTTAAGGGATATCTTCTGTATTCTCAAGATTTCTATGCATGAATGTGAGAAGTACTTGTGGAGAAAACTATCATTTCCTACACACCTTGCATATTGAGACTTGTCTGTGTCCTATGTGTATGAAACCATATCTTTACTTTTGGCTAAATTATGCAACACTTCCTGAAAACTCCTCGTAGAAGAAAATTTTGTTTTTGTGCAAAAGCAAGCTCGCTTCACCATAATAAATGAGTTCCAGAACCTTACACAATATCAAGCACTAAACAAGAAATAAATAAAAGACCAGCAATTATTCTTATGCTTCAGCTTCATTCACGATTTTTCCATAAAGATTTCAGTAGGTTTAAGGCATCCCCTAAGTGCATCATGCCCGAGTTGGGCTCTTTCATTGTCTCCAAATCCAAAAACCTGTCCACGATTTGTGACAACAACAGTGTGGTATAAGCCAGTGCTAATTTGAGATATGTGGTGAGATCTCAAACTCTCGAGGATCCGGGGCCTCAAAACTTTATCTGATGCTCCTCTATCAAGGAACCCGAGGCTACCAAAACCCATCCAACCAAAGCCATAAACAGAACCGTCCTCCACCAGGACAAAAGTTTTCCTCTTACTTGCACAAACCTACAACAATCCACAGATTTAATAGAGGTCAATGACTTACAAAGGGCGAAAAGGGAAGACGCGGCAGAAAAAATAAAGCTAGGCCAAGGCACTGTTGTTTACTTGACAAGCCTTGAAGTACTTGTCCTAATAGCCATTTAGTTATTACTCGTGTTTCACACTAGTTTGAGATATTTCATATCAAGTTGTGCCTTAACTATGCTGATCGTGTAATATCAACTTGCAAATGTAAGAGAATGCCAGACCTGAACAGCTAATTGGCTCTTAAGGCTGGTCAACAGTGATGGAGTTGTCTTATCAATCTCATCTCCATGCCCCAATGCACCACAGTAACCTTTCCCCCAAGTATACACCTGCAATCGCCGAAGATTAACAGTCAATTAGCAACTTCCTTGTTTGGTTTTTAGTGATAAGTCAACTAAATTTTAGCATTGATCAAATGAAATTAAGCTACCATGTGATTTTAGGTACAATGACTTACATATCCAGTGGAATCCAGTGCCACAACATGCTCAGCGCCAGCAGAAACACGAGCCACATAAATGCCCTGCCTACTAAACGACTGGATTGCACGTGGCTGAAGTTCATTGTGCTGTTCTCCGTGACCAAGGCAGAAATTAGTACCCGAACCAAAAGAGTAGAGTGTCCCATCATCACAAACTGCAAGTGCATAACTAGGACCAGCAGCAACCTGAACTACAGAACCGATAGATGCCAGTAGTTCTACACATGTCGGTGTTGGCCTATCCATTGTGTCACCATGACCAAGTTGACCAAGTGAATTTGTTCCACATGTGTAAACATGACCTTGCCTTGTGAGAAACATAGTAAAACTGAGACCTACAGCAACCTGAACCAGTTCCAACAGTGGTGAGCAATGTAGTATTCAAGATAGAAGTCAACAGTAAAATCCCCCATGTCAGCAGTGTTTTTTATGAGAACCTTTGGTGTGTGGCAGGCCAGTTCATACACTCATAAACAAATGGCACAACTGGAAATGATTCAACTGCGTAAAATTTAAAACTTAAAATTTGCAATTAAAATTAGTAGACATTTTGTAGGTGTTGTCCATGTCCAACTTAATCTGCTTTTCCCTTTTCATAGTCGTACGGGAAAAAAGAGTATTTATACTTGTTATATGGGGTACTTCTGATTTTGATCTTATAATACCTTCGGTTCGAATTTTAGCCTTCATTTATTCAAGAGTGGCTTGTTGAACCATTTTTCTCAAATTCCCACCCGACATATTTAGCTTCTTGCTCCTATGTTTAGTTGCAATAAATTTTGTGTCTTTTTCTTCAAATGCTTTTGTGGATGGTGAAGGGCAAGTTTGCAAGCTTCGGATAGAGAAGAGAAAGGATTTTCATTTTCATGTCGGGATTGGGTGGTGGGGCAGGAATGGAGTAGGAGAATGAAGGGTGGGAACATGTTGCCAGGCGAGGATAGGCAAGGCTTGGGATTGGCGGGGCTTGGATGACTAGATTAGACATTAGAGGGTGGCAGGGCTGGCCGGATGACGGGCGGCTGCAGTCAAGCCAACCGACGGGTTTAGGAGACACTAAAGGAGTGTATGGAAGGCAAAATGCTCAACTTTTTCTTTTTTCTTTTTTTCCTACTTTAGTTTCTAGTTTTATTATCCCACTTTTTTAATCAATTCTGTCATGAGTATGGTTACAAGTAAGCACGAAAGGAGTTCCAGTCCCTGTTTTGGCTGTTCCCTGAATTTCTCCATTATTCTCTGAATCTCTGGTTAAGGCATATCACATTTTATTATTTTGCCCGTTAAATTACTGAACTTCCCTCAGAACCCGAAGATTTTGAACTTGTCTGTTCAGTTGTAAAGAATTCTTCAAATTTGGGCTAAAAGTGCCATTTCAGATAATGAAGGCTATGAGTGCGACTCGAAAATCACAGGAACCAAAATGGGATTTACCCCCATGGCTCCTGAAACAAAGGCTAAAACTATTATATTTCCAATTTGTATCTTAATTGTGAACGATCCATTGTTTACAAGTCTTTTGATAGAAACTAACATTATACCTATGTCCCAATATTTTATCTTGGTCAAATTACAAAAACAGTTCAAATTATGTAAATTTATCTCAAGAGATGGCCCAAAAATATAACCAATGCTACTTTATGACTAACTTTTGAGTAGCTCAATGTTGGAAAGTAACAAATAGTTAAGATAGACAAAAAAGCAAAAACAAAAAGAAGTGCCTAGCCTGGTTGGATGCTATAACCTTTAACAACGTGCTAACTCAACCAATAGTGTGGTTAATCGTGTTGATCTTTAACCTATCATTTCAGCTTATCTAGCCTAGTTCTGATGACAAAGAGACAAGGATATAAAGGGTTATTTCAAATCTTTGAAGACTGCATATAACAAGTATCACAAGATTGTAATCAAATTAGTAAAACTTGATTAGAAATTAGACGAAAAACACTTTTGATAATATAGAAAGAGTTAACAAAAAATGAGTTACAAATCCTAGAGTGATTTGGTCAAACAGGAGACATTGGTCTGAACCACCAATTCAGACCAATTAGATAAATAAATAGACGTAAACTGTGACATCATTCTGGCTATTTCATAAACTCAAAAATGGATAAAAAGGCAAACAATTTTCCCTATAATAACATTGGTTTATTTGTCTGTTACTTATCCTTTCATTCTCCATATTTTTTGTAACTGGACTTGATAAGAAAAGTCCACAGATTCCTGACAGTTACTGATATCCTCCTAGGTTCATGACTTTAAGTTGCAAATATTTCAAATCAGATTTGCAGCAAAGGAAAAAGACTTCAAATTATCACATCATTTTTCTTTTCCCAGTTCTCCTCCAACAAAAAAAGAGTAAATCTTGAAGCACTATCATACTTCAACTTATCAGGAAAAAAATATCATGAAAGAGTATCATTTATTCCCAAATTGATCTAGCAGTATTATATGATCGACTTTTTATTTAATCATTAGATGTTTCTTCCCAAATTTTTCTAGAACTGGGGATTTCCTGATCTTCTTCGTTATCCTTGTGGCAATTTAGTTGTAAACAATGTCTAGAATTCGAATCTCTATCCCCGTAACGAGGTAATCTCATCAATTAGTTGGTTGACATATAAAAAGAAATTTACCTGCTTGCAACGAATGTTTTTCAATGCTTCAACCATCCTAGGCCTGAAGATTGGGCGTCCGGTGTCTATATGCCCACAACAGTATGCAGAGTTGTCTCCACATGTGAACACCTACACCAAGAATTTTAAACCTCGTGAATGATAGAACATTCATTCCTATACTAAATATTTTATTTATGGTAGCAAAAGATAAAATGCCAGTTTTTAGCATATCTCCAACAGAGAAAAAGAATCTCCAGCTAAAATGCTCTTTAAGGATTTAAAACAAAAACATAAGAGCATGTAACAGACATTGTATGAGCAATGAACATTCAAGAACCAATACAAATTAAATGGAATCACAGCATGTTCTTTTTTTTATTTTTTTCGATAGACAACATAGACCAATCACTCATGGCTAAAGAGAATATCTGCCTTTAAGGTTAATATGTTTGTCTAAGGGTGGTTTAATTGTTACAAGGAGACACTTGTCTAATACTGGTAGAAGGTTACTTCACTCTATATGTGCCTCGTCATTACTTGAGGGTCATATAGGAAATCAGCTAAGATAAGCAGCTTATGCAACCTACTGCAGTAAAGGGATGTCTAAGAAATAGGAAAATTAAGAGCTTTCTCATTACGAGGACACCAATCCATGAAAAGGTTCTCTTTCTATACTTCTGTTTTCCTTTTTTCTCCTTTTTATTCTTTGGTTGTTAGAATAATGTAGGAGACTTATCCTCAACTCTCATAGTTTCTTCCCTCTAAATTAAATCTCTTTCTTTTCATTCTCTCTGAGCAGAGAGAGGCATCAAAAAGGAGAGCAAACTAGGTAAAAAGACACTATGGTTAACAGAGTAGATAAACTTGCCACAAACAACATAATGTGAAACACACACACAAATCATTATTTGAGGCAAACAAGTTCAGTATAATTAAACCACCCTTAAACAAACATATTAACCTTGAAAATATTATATCTAGCTCTATTTTAGTTTTATACTCGCAAGCAAAAAGAATCAGACTAATCTTTACATATCATGCATGCAAAAAACAAAGTACACATACAAGGTAAATTGCCGTTACAGAAATAGGAGAAGTTGATGATATATGACAGTTTTCTAACCTGTCCAGACCCTGTGACAAAAGCAGCATGATTATGAGAAGCTGAAACTTGGGCGACTTGTACGGGAAGAGGAAAGCTAATTCGAGTAAATTCCACACACTGAGTTGTTTCAGGCCCATGACCGAGGACGCCGGATAAACTGGAACCACAAGAGTATACTTTTGATCCTTTGATTAGCAATGTGTGATACCTGCCACTCCTAATTTGCATCTGCCAATAACGCATTACAGTAAGTAACCACAATAGAGGAAGCCCCCGCCCCATATTTTCCTAGAAAACTGATTAGCCAAAATCTCAAGATATTAAACTTAGAAAGATAGAAATCAACCAGCCAATCCAACTAATCCTCAAACAAAAAATAGTTAGGTCGGTTCTATGATTCATCTATATCCATTCCGCTCTATTCAGTCCAATTTATTTACACTACTAAATAATTTATCTAAACCTTCCATACAAGTCTCTGACCAAACTAAAAGGACACCCATCAGACACAACTGCACCTAATATTGACTACTCTATGTGAAGCAGCAAAATCATGTACTCCTTCCACAAGCATATCTGACTAACATAAAACTAGTTTCTTAAAACATTCCATCGATCCACGCACTCAAGGGTGCGGTCTAGTGGTCAATGAAGTGGGGGTTGAGAACCATGAAGTCTCAAGCTCAAATCTCAGCAAAGGCAAAAAGCATAGTAGGTGATTTCTTCCCATCTGTCCAACCCTTGGTGAACAAAGTTACCGGGTGCGAGGTACCACGTATTCCGTGGAGTCAAGTGCGCACACGTTGGCCCATACACCATGGTTATCCAAAAAAAAATTCCATCGATCCATATGCCTCTGTGTGTGTGTGTATTTAATAGTAACTAATACTCCATCCATATACTTATTAGTCCAGAATAGGAAAACAGCATTCAATTCAAGGAAGTGACACTTAAGCTAATGAATTATAGTTTTCCAAGAAATAGTACATTGCCTGCAGAGGTTACAACCGTATCAGAGGACTGTTCCAACCCTTGCAAGAACCTCAAAAGGCGCTTCCAATTGTCATTACAGCGTCCGAGCAGCTCTTTCTGAGCATCACAATGCAGAGAGGCATAAAAAGGATGATTCCAACAAAGCTGAAACACAGCATAATCAACCAAAGACTTAAACTTTTGAGGAACCAAACTGTGGGTTCCACTAAAAGTCCTTGAAGTTAGCTCCAAACATATTAAATCAATAGCACCTAATCGACCTGACGTCAATATTTCAAGAATCAAATGTACTGGCAAATCCTCCATTGATGCTGACCTCAAACGATCCCCCATTTTAGCCCACCACAAAAAGAGAAACGACACTGAATAGCTTAAAGATCAAATTTTTAAACGAAAACGGAAACAATTGAGACAATTTATGAAGAAAAAATCAGATTTAAGAAAATTTGATGAAATTGAGTAGGAAAATGAGGGATTAAATGTTAAAATCTTATTACTTAAGTTGAAATAAATCATCAGAAGTGAGAACCCCAAAGCTCAAACTTGAATGAACAAAACGAAATCAAATATTTTTTTCTAGCAAATTACTAGAAAACCGACTAAAAAACCACCAAAATTGAAACTTTCTCAACCTAAATTTGAGCAAATAACGGATCCAATAAAACTGAAAGAGAAAAAATTGTTGGGGCCTTAATAAACAAGAAATTTAAGGCAAGTAGGTAAGAAAGAGTCTAATAGTGGAATCTTTAAATAGAAGTGGAGAAAGAGGAGAGTGACCAGTGAAGCTTTTTAATTTCGGTGCCAATTAACTTAGCCTTTAAGCCGAAATGCTGACTGAATAATAGTAATAAAGAATTGAAGATTAAAGTTAGAGAAAATGTCCAACTTGGAAAGACCAAAGTTACAGGCGAAAGCTTCTCTTTTTCTTCTGCTTGCTTTATGGCCACATTTCCACTCTGATTTTATTCTTTTCTTCTTTTTTTATTTATTTATTTTTTGTTTGTTTTGATTTGGTCAAAAAAATGCTTTGAAACTATTTGATTGAGAGCTGGTGCTCTTTGTTATCTTGTTATGTTGTCGTCATATACAAGTACATTTTTTCTACGTGGACAAACCACAACATCCCACGTAGGATATTTTCTGTGTCAGTGGGCATTGCTTTGGAAGAGGAAATAGATGTATATGTATGACAAGAGAGACGCCCGAGAGCTGCAATTCAGCTGGTGTTACTTTGGACTTGCCTATAAATAGGGGTGTTCATGGTACTGTATGGATTGATTTTTCCCTTAAAAGAAATCAAACCAAGTAAGTCGATTTTTCAAATATTAGAATCAAACCAAATCAGTTAAGTCGGTTTTTTCTCGATACGGTTTATGTCGGCTTTTGTCGGTTTTTCGATTTTTTCGGTTATTTATCGGGTTTTTCTTAAATATAAGACATACACTACCAAACACATATTCCGACGATCATATTTTCAACGTAACACTATCAAATCAATGGTCCTTTGAGAAATTTATTATTTACAAAGATATATTGATGATAATTGAATCTAATAGTGATGAATAATTTAAGGACTCAATCAAAAATAGATCTCACCGGAGTTTGAAGGCCTACCGGTGAGGGTTTTGCCTCAACAGAACAGTGACGAGGAGGGGGGGGGGGGGGTAAAGGGTGGTTGTGGTTGAATGGGAGGTCGCCGCCTAGTCGGTCATCACCTCCGGAGGCGGCGATTGGTGGCGATGCGGCGACAGAAATGGAGGGAGAGAGGAGCCGGCAGATGCTATGTTAAAATGAAAGAGGAGATGGTAAAGAAGGTTTCTTTAAATGTATTTTTTTTTTGTTAATTACATATATCAAATTTTTATGGCAAAATTACATGTGTCATTTTTTGATTTGGTCCATTTGACATGTCATTGACAGGTGCAACTCACACATATGGTTTGTTGTACTCGGGTGTTTACTTGACCTACTTAATAGCCACTTGAAGTGTTAAAATGAAAAATGGCTTAGTTGAGGTATTCAGTTGATCGTTGAGAACAACTTAAAGGGGCGCTTTATGTATTTTGCCTTTTCAAACTGGAAAAAAACGTACACCCGTCCACTATACTAGAGATATATTTTTACTTTTACTTGTCCACTAAATTAAATCAAAAGAAAGATAGCAAAATTTTCTGTTTTACCCTTATCATTAACTACCCATTCCACAAATTATTTTTAAGACTTTTGAAAATGCTATCATTATTATGGGTAAAATTATACAATATATATTTTATTTATTATTTCTTAATGAGCGTGAAAAGTCCAAAGTGGACAACTAAAAGTGAACGGACGGAGTAGTAATCACGTGAGATTTATTAGCTACATTTTTTCCAATATTAATTAGCTATGATGAGTAATGAAAAAAATTAGAAGAAAAAAAAATACAGTAGAATATCTGCTCGTATCAATAATATTATTAATAGCAATAAAAGCTCAAAAAAAATATTTTCTATTATGAAACAATAAAGAAGAAGAATAACATAGCAAAGAAAAGTAAAGGGAGAGAATTCTTATTAATATGGGATGAATTACAATGGAATAGAACCCTCTATTTATAGGGAGAGGGTGACTTAGCCACCAAGTAATAAACCCTAGAATCTCTCTAAATATAGACATTTACCATAAATAAAATTCGATTTATAACACTCCCCCTTGAATGTCTATTCAACAGATAATGTGCCTCGTTAAAACCTTAACTAAAATAAAACCCAGTGGGTAAGAAATTCTAGAGAAGGAAAAAGAGTACACATATCTAATAATACGCCTTTTGGTTGCCTCGTTAAAAATCTTGCAAGGAAAACCCAGTGGGACAAAACCTTGTAACGGAAAAAGAGTACAACGCGTATTAACTCCCCCTGATGAGAGCATCAATTCACATCCTTAAGCATTTGCATTCCAATCTTGTGCACCATCTTCAAAAGATCTTTGGTAGATATTTGATAAACAAATCAGGCATATTAACTTGAATGAATATATTGCACCTTGAAATCATCATTCTTGATAGAGATGGATTGTCTTAATATGATCTTGTTGGAATCGTCAGTTCAATATCTTCACATAGAGGTGAAAACTCTTGCTATCATATTATGATGCATATAGTTATAGCAAGATACATTTGTGCACAAATCGCACTGAGGATGCAGTACTTCATGACCATGAATTCTATATGCTTTAAGCAATTTAAATCCTTCAGGGATTGTTAAGTCATATAAGCCATATAATAGACTTTAGATGCATATCAAGTTTTCATGTCATGCTAGACATATAAGATATCGAAAACTGATTGCACATACCATTGACTTTATACTTTCAAGTGTTTGAACTACATGCATGTTCAAAACTACATGTCTTTCATATGAAACCAATTCTATTCGAAATTGCTTCACCAGACTTAAGATCCTCATATATATTTAGCGGTATCATAGATGTCGTCGACGAACATTTTATATCGGTTTCAACATTTTTAATAAAGACATAACATAGAGATCTCTTCATTCGTTTCAGGTACCTAAACCTCTATTGAGATTTTATGAAGCATTATGTCATGTGATCTTCTAGATCACTTGTCTCCTTTATTATGATCGTTTGCTCATCTTCTTTATCAAGAAGTTTATTTGAAACCGATTTGTCTATATGCTTTAAGCGTACCATAGACTTTGTCCTTCTAGAACTTAATAGGAGCATTTGCAACGAGAATATAGTTACTTTCTTTGGGTCAACAAATGCGCTTGGCATGCTTTGCAATATATTGCAAATGAATTATCTTTTTATGAACTTCAAATTGTGGAAATTGGTTCTTAATTATCAATTTGTAAGTTTTAACTATAAAATGAATTAATTTGACTTCGGTCAACGTTTTGGGTAAACGGACTCGGACCCGTGATTTGATGGTCCCAGAGGGTCCGTAGGAAAATATGGGACTTGGGCGTATGCCCGGAATCGAATTCCGAGGTCCCGAGCCCGAGAAATAAATTTTTTAAAGGAAATTATTTTCTGAAATTGTTTAAGGACAATTGAAATGAAATTTGATTAGAACATGTTAGTATCGGGCCCGTATTTTAGTTTCGGCGCCCGGTACAGGTCTTATATATGATTTAAGATGTTTCTGTGAAATTTGGTGAAAAACGGACGTCGTTTGACGTGATTCGGACCTAAATTGCTAAAGTTGATGTTTTATGAAGTTTGAGAAAAATCCTTTGATTTTGAGGTTTAATTCGTTGTTATTGAGGTTATTTTGGCAATTTGATCGCACGGATAAGTTCGTATGATGTTGCTGAGTTAGTACCTATGTTTGGTTGGAAGCCCCGAGGGCTCGGGTGTGTTTCAGATGTGTTTCGGGAGGTTTTGAACTTAAGAAAAATTGCAGAAAAAGCTGTACAGGTGTTCTGGTATTTCCTTCTTCGCGTTCGCGCGATGGCCCTCGCGAACGCGATGTGTAATTTGTTGCTGAAGGAATTTCCTTCTACGCGAACGCGTAGCCCGGGTCGCGAACGTGAGGCAGTAGGGGGCTATACCTTTGCGAACGCGGTCCTCGCCACGCGAACGCGAAGACCAAATGGGCCTGGGCAAGGGGAGGGGTAGTTACCTTACGCGAACGCGACCCGTTGGACGCGAACGCGAGGGCTCGAGAAGCTAAAGCTTCGCGAACGCGAAGGCTTAACCAGCCTGACCCATCGCGAACGCGAAGGGTCTGTCGCGATCGCGTAGAGTAAAATCGCCCAGTTAAATTTTAAAACTTCAGAATAGTAGCCTTACGGGATTTCATAAAATTTTCATAAACCCCTTCTTCTCCAAAGCTCTTGGGCGATTTTTGAGGCACTTCTTCACCAAAACTTCTTGGGCAAGTAATCTTTAACTTGTTTTCTTCCATTTTCATCAACATCTATTAGATTTCTAGGCCTAAAAAATGTGAATAAGGGTAGAAAATTAGGGGTTTGGGTAGAACTAGGGCACTAGGGCTTTTTGATTAATTGTGATTTAGACCTCGTTTTGGGGTCGAATTCTGGAAATAATTATATATTTGGGCTCGTGGGCGAATGGGTGATTTGATTTTGGTCCGAACCTCGGGTTTTGACCAAGCGAGCCCGGGGTCGAGTTTTGAATTTTTGGGAAGAATGATTAGAAAGCTATAATTAAGCATTGGAATTGGATTTTTTAGCATTTATTGATGTTATTAAGTCGATTATGTATAGATTCGATTGGATTGGAGCCTAATTTGAAAGGAAAAGCGGTGATTGAGGCTTGAGTTGGCCGTGAAAGTTCGAGGTAAGTGTTTGGTGTAACCTTAGCTTGAGGGATTAGGAGTTGTGTCCTATTTGCTATTTGCTGCTTGTTGAGTACGACGTATAGGCATGGTGACGAGTATCTATACGTTGATGTCAAGCATGACCGTGAGTCTTATATTGTGATTTTCATGACTTCGTTGTATTATTCGTGCCTTGGTGAAGATTTATATCTGTTGTGAAAAGTTGTGGAAAGAATCGTGACCTATGAACATTGAGGAGTGTTGGCTCCAGTTGTATAACGAATTGTGAAATTATAAGTGATAATTGAAACTCTAGAGCATTGGCTCGAGTTGTAAAGTGAAATGTGAAGTAAAAGTGAGAAAGAGAAGAGATCATTATGTTGTCCCTTGCGGGGCTATTGTTGAGTTGTGGTTCCCTTATATTGTGTTCTTAATTGATATTACGGATACTTAGGTTGATGATTCTTTGTGTTAGGTAAGGATTATGGGTATAGCTAAGGTAGTTAGGTGTTGTATCCAGTTTGGGTATAGCTGAGGTAGTTAGGTGTTGTAACCAGTTTGGGTATAGCTGAGGTAGTTAGGTGTTGTAACAAGTTTGGGTATAGTTGAGGTAGTTAGGTGTTGTAACAAATTTGGTTATAGCTGTTT